AAGAAGAATCTGGAAATAATGTTAAGAAACCTAACAAAGGCTTTTGGAATCACCAAAAAGGCATCAAAAACTCATAGGACTACAGGAGATTAGGAAGGAAATACAGAAGAAAGATGTAAAGCAGAGATTGTTGATGAATATATATTTACCCAAAGTTGACAAATGAGAAACCCTAGAATGTACATCATCTTCTGCAAGGAGTTTGATTTCTTTCTACAGATTCTCATCAAAATAAGACAATAAAGAATTTGATAAAATACCCCTATAAATAGTATTAATCTAACTAAGAAAGGAATTCAAAAATAAATAAAAATCACAGAGAGAAAGTGCAGAGGTAAGAAGAATCTTTCAAGCCTCGCTAACGATGTAAAGCGACATCTTCTATGTTTGTGACAGTCAACAATGGTGTCATATTACGTTGTTTTAGGTGAATTCAAATAATGAGCATTTCGTGCATCTTTTCGGTGTCTCACATTATGTGCTTTGAAGAATTACAATTTTCGTAAAAGAAGTCTATTTTAAGAAAGATAACATTATCCCTCGGAGTCATAAAAGAATGTGAGTCGATCCAATCCTACACAAAAGCAGTATGGACCTCTCATAAACAGAATTGATTACTTCAATTTCCTAAATCTAAAGAGATCATATGAATTAAATGAAATGCAATACATAATGAAATTTACCATCAATTTCCATGGAATTCTCAGTAGTGACGAAAACATTAACTTAAATTATCTTGGTAAAATAATTAAGTATTTTTTTACCTTTTCTCATATTATTCTTCAGATAATTTCTTCATAACTGCTTCAGACCAAAAGCTCTTGCTGAATAAAATAGACATGAAATTTCACATTAATACTTCACGATTCAAATCATCGGTGAAAAAATTACCTGTAGTGGTGAACAGTGCATAGCAATGGAGAACTTGATCTTCAACTGTGAATAAACACTTTCAATGGGAAAATACACAAATGAATGCATGAGAAGAGACACGATACTTCCAAACCAGTTCGGGTGTGAAAGCAGGGTGCCCAAAAATGAATAGTAGAAGGGACACCCTCTCTTTTATAGTGAAGAGAAAAAAAAACACATGAGCAACAAACACTGATCTGTTTTACCTTTGGTACTAACGTCGGCAACTATTATTGAGTTTTTGAAAAATGACACTTTGCTTGTCTTGATTTCTAGCATACTTTATTAAAAAAACTAAGATATGCGTAGTGGAATTTCATTTTACAATGATGTAGAAGTTTCAACTTTTGCTTTTATCTAGTAAACATTGAGGTGTCAAATACTCTTCAAATAATGCTTCAATATTTCAAAATCTAAATAATATATTGCATCCAGTATTTTTCTTCCACTTTCATTTTTTCCTACAGTTTCAAAATAATTGCAAGACAGAATCCATGACCTAATGATGCTACAATAAAGTAATATAAAGAAATAGATACTTACGCCCCAGAGGAAACCAGCATTCCAGCATTGAGAAGGCTTCCATACTACAAACCACACAAATAATAACTATACTAAAGTTATCAAAATATAACATCGAAATTGGCATTTGAAGTCAAAATTAATGAATACCTTGTTTTGGTGGCTTCTAACAGCGGCAGCAACCAAGAGAATTTCAAATAAATTCAATATCATATATACTAATTGTGTGGAAGACACAATTCTCGAACTCTCAATATGAGGAAAGAAGCTACCATTTGAAAAGCCCAATAACACCATTTACGAAATTCAACTTCATAAATTTACTCAATTCAGTACACATGTGGACATGTCAAAATATATAACATATGTAACTTGATACCTTTTATATACTTCACCAAAGGTCCCGCCCCGTAGCCGTTTTCTAAACAACTCTTTAGCACAGGAGTGCTTTCCTACATCTTGAGCCCTCCAGTCACTACTCTAGAGCTACCGGCAAAGATTTGCAAATATATTTCATCGCCAATTACAAAAGAACGACGTAAATAATACACATGATTGGGGTTATCCGAAACTGGGTCGTGATTGAAAATGACTGGACAGTACTGGGGTCTATTTCAACTGAAAATATGAAAAGTTTCCTACCGTACCCAGCCCAACATACTACCATCTTCACTCTCAGCAAAACACCTACCATAGCTCCCTTCGTCGCGACCTCCGTCAATCACCACCACCCACATATCGACTACCACCTACCCCTATAAATCCTGAAGCTGAAACTACCGTTCTTGCGCCACAACTCAAAAAATGGGAAGAAATCTACATAGAAGGAAGAAATTGAACACATAAAAATTATACTTACAGATATATGTCTCAATTCCTGCAAATTTGTTTTGGATTTCTTTCAACAATTGAGAACAATCGAGAGAGAGAATAAGAGAAATTAGGGTTAATCGGGGGCTTTCTTTTTGGGAGAGCAGTAGAGACGAGTGGGAATTTTAGCTTCTGCATGAGAAATGAAAGGAAAAAAACACCCCCAATACGTCATCGTATTGGTTGACGATTTACTATGCATTCCAAAACTGCCTCTTTTAGAATAGCTAGTGTAGGCACGTGCGATGCACTTGCTGCAGTTTAGTTGGGTATTTAATAGTGTGGAGTGATTTTAAGTTATTTTTTTAGTTAATGTTCAAAGATAAAATGTGTCTCCTTCTGGTCCAAACTAATATTGAAAATAATTAGAAGATGTTTAAAAAATTTACCAAGTACGGTTCAATATGGATTCCAATAATCAGCCTTGTGTATGTCAAAGAATACAAGTTATTGCTAACATAGTTACTGGTATTTGCAACTACTGGTGGTGATAAGAGATTTTTTAATGCGGTAATTACAGGTAAAAAGGAATTGCTAATCCTAACACACATTCCACACTTTTAATAGGACTACATAGAACAAAACAGAAGCACAGGACTGGACAGATGAAGGCAAAGTGAATGCTCCAATAAAATAGGCTGTGAGTTCAACAACACGAGTCAGATGCATACTCCATACACGCAAATGTTTAACAGAAAACAAAGCAACTATGTTGTGGAATGACTTGCATGTCTTGCATTCTCCTCATAAGTTTAGAATGCGAATATACAAAGAAGGAAACTTCGATTGGGAGAGCTCAAAAAGACGAAGTGAGCATCAAAGAGTTATTTTGAATTTTCCATCATTTATTCAACCAAATGTTCAAGTCACCTTAAAATCAATTGGCAGATAGAGGAAATCATATGTGCCCTTGTGAGTTTCATCGATAGCGGCAAGTAGCATCTTCGAGGTGTACCTTCAAAGAAGGAAAATTAAAATGCAGCCTTATTCTGCAGTTTCAAAACAAAATGGATATTTAAATTGTTGTCAGTTCATACTTGTTGGGGATATTTGTATCATCAAAGTAGTTCTACTATCTTCGTGACTGGCGATCCTTTCCAAATCAAGTTGATACTGCCTTCTGTCTTCCACCTGGCTTCCACTGTCAACCCTTCTATTTCGATAGCGATCAATCAATCCGTCATTGCTGGTTGCTCCCATACCTCCATAAGGGAATTGTGATAAAACTAAGCTACTAATTTATAACTAAAGGAAACAAATCTCATAGCAGGAGCTACGCGTAATCCAAACGTATTAACAAGTATATTCCTATTAAAAGTACAGCTCAAACAATTTCCAATAAATTGGTTTTTCATTTGAATTTTTAATCAAATATCATAGGTTTCAATATCAAGAAATCAATCAAGAGTATATTTTTCTTTCATGTTGGTCTCCTCTGAATAAAAGCAAGGCAATATCATTCACATAATTTTTCTTAATAAAAGCTATCCGTAGTTACCAACATGGTGTTTTCGGTAGGTAATAAACATTGTTATTTTTACAGGAAAAAACCAACATGGAGAGATTTGATAAAATTGAATTGCCATGGATTCTAAAGAGGGAGAAATGAAAAATAAAAATCCCACTAATGTCTTATCCTGAAAAAGGAATCCTAAAAACCCAAGATGCGAGATAGCAAGAAAATGGGGGCAAAAGAGAAAAGTCCTGAAGAAAGAGAGAGACCCCTCTCAATTCTCATTCAATGTTCTTTCACCATTAAAACTTGGTAGAAAATTGGACCCATCAAAAACCCACTGGCACAACAAACGAAGCAAAAGAGTATGCTCAACAAGAGACCAAAGAATGAAAGGAAAAAAGCAAACCAAAACCCCTAATTGCAGCAAAAAAAAGGGCGTATTGAAAACAAAAATAGGAATTGCTAGAACAGGAAGGGTGTGTATACTTGCAAACGTCGAGCAATTGATGTAATAGGCAATAAGGCAAAAAGATATTGAATTTAATTGTTCCAAATTTATTAAGATACCTCAAGCTTGCTTCCATCTGGAAATGTCTGTCAAGAAGGTATCCATTTGACAACATGATCGCTAACACAAAGAAGCCACTCCATTTCCCTTCTCTACATCAGCTTCTTCTCAGTTGGTAAAGGTTCCAATCTCCAAATGTCGCTAAAAATTGTAGCTAATAAAACCAATAAAGCACAAGTTACACACACCGATCATAATCGAATTCATTCCAATCTCAAATTAAGCAAATATGTCAACTAATCGATATTAATTTAGTGTTAAGTAACATACCACAAAGATTAGTAATAGCATTTGATATAGCCAGAGCAGTACAAACCCCATTTCCACAACCAGACATATCTTCCCCAAGCAGTAATTTTGAAAATCTTTCTTTCATCATCTCAACTTCTACACAACACGAAAATTCAAGGAATTATATTAATCCAATAGAAATATATGATTATATAAAACACAAGCAAACACATTACTAATATAAATAACAAAAGAAAAATATATGAATAATTAGTACCTGACATAGATGACCCTTGCTTCTCTAATTTTCTGTTATCCAAATGGGGTTTCTGAACCTCTTCAGAAACATCAGAATTGACACAATGTGGCCTCTCATTCTTCTGCATTAACCAACCCCCTCTTGCTTCTCTTCTGTAACTTTGCTTTCAACACTCAATTTTTCTATAGGTTGGCAGCAGTAGTGTCTTCTTCACTATCCCCAGTTTTTTTTGCTAGAGATTCAGTGATTTCTTCAATCTTATCTTTGAAAGATTTGCAATCTGTAATGTAAATACAAATATAAAAGGATATCAGTGGACCTGTACAAATCCAGAAGTACAAAGAGCAACTATATATCTAAGCTAATACATTTTGTCTACGGTATATAACAACACTTCCTAATAAGTAGATTTTATTTCTGTAGACAGTAAGGACCCACAAGAAATAAGAATTATCCATTTATATCTATCATGCTGCACATATGTTTTGCAAGTAATATCATTTGCTTTGCCTCCGTACAAACATATTCTGAATTGAAAAGGATAAGTTTATGTATTATCCCTGAACTCCAGATATCTGAAATTATAATCTTCTAACCAAACAATAAAGCTTGGAAAATATCAACATGATTCATCAAGATGATTGCCAAACTAAGACAAAGCAGTGAAGTTTCACAACCTAAACAGAAAAAAATGAAACACCTGCCAAATCACACATTTAATTGTCAAATAGAACTATTTCCTTCAACAATCGCAATACCGTATTAAAGGTAGCTTTCCTTTCTTAGCCTTTTCTTAATATATCATAACCACTGAGAAAATTTTGCTCTCATTGCAAGAAAGTCAAAAGTGTAACTTCATTTAGCCTGTGTATGAGCCACATTTTTCATCGAAAATGAGTTCTGTAATATCGCAGAATGTATGAGAAAAGATTTTGGATAGCGTGCAAAGTATTTTATTGGGAGAACATGGTTGAAAATGAGTTCACGGAAAAAATGAATTCAAGAACAAGAAAATTAATAATAATAAAGAAATATATTTGATTGTGCAAAACAAGAAGCTGAAACTAATTAGACTTTATCCCCATATCAATAGAAAAAATAGGCAAAGCGTCGAGGCATCTAGATTATGCACTCCACCCCAGCACTGATCACTCCTTAGGGGCAAACTCCATAGCACTCAAATGGTAAAAAATTCTCAGGAAAAGCTAACATTCCTCAAAAAGAACAAGTCCGAAAACCAACTAAAATGAATACTTGAGCCTGCTTGTAATAAAAGTCAACACAACAAAATCACCAACTCATATCTCTTTCATGAAACTTCAACTATTCGACAAACCGTCCAGCCATCCATCAATAGAGCTATCAATTTAAATTTACAACAGACACTGTACTTACCTGTTAAGTGGCCTCTCAACTAAAAACATATAGATGTAAACACCAAAGATTTATATCTGTTTGCCTCATTTTTTTTCTTACAATCAAAACACACCAATCATGAACTAAATTTATAGCACAGTTTCAAAGATATAGCATACTGTATATAAAACGTAGTAACTCACTTTCCACGGAGGCAAACCAAATAGCAAAAGTCTCCTCCTTCAACGCTCCATCTGCAAAATCCGCAACATGCCACACACACGATTTATCATTTCCTTGATGCTCTTGCACAGTCATTGTCGGTAACACTGTTATTACAAAACAAAACAAAACAATTTCTTAATCAAATAATTCAAATCCATCATTTCATATTAGAAATCTATACCGACATATGGGTTCAAACAAAGATATATGTACAGCATCAAATACACATAAAGATGCTCATTTAGACTGAGGCTAGGGAAAGAGTAAATAAGGGAAGTTATAGTATATGCAGTAAAACCTTGCAATCTAGATCGCAATATAATGAAGCTCAGGAAATAGTTAACTTTTAATCATCGTGATCTGAAAATTTGATTCACCAATAGCAATTGAGTAGACGTCATGCAAAATAAAATGCCTAACACGGACACAAGCACTATGAAAATTCGGCGGCCTTCAATCTGCACAATAGAATCAAGTACTCTCAATCTTTTCAACTATGACACATGTTTTTCTTTAATATGCACTACATATTCTGTAGCCAAATTTAGATTACAGATATTTAAAACATACCAGATTATTTTTCTGATTTGTTATAACATATTCATTAACCTATTTCCAAGTGAAGACCATGTTTGACTTTTAAATGTGAGAGAAAATGCAACGGGAGGTAGTTATGTCAATGGCCAAAAGTTCACAATTGAAAAATCCCCAACAAAAAGATGTGCCTCAATGAAATAGCCTTTTACAAAAATTACTTCCTTCGGAAGAAAAATATGGTTCATTTCGATGTACAAGAGCCATAAATTTTCCATAAACCTTAGAATACAAGTTCAAGAGCCGTGCATTTTCCATAAACCTTAGAATACAAGTTCCCCGTTTCAAAGGAAGGTGGCATGTAAAAAGTGACTTTTAGTAGTGTCAAGTGAAGCAAAAACAGAATATGTATAAAAATCAGAGTAGATCCATTAATTATCACAAAGCAATGAGAAAGTCAAACTGGCATAACCCAAATGTAATGTAAGAGCATGTTTTAGAAAAATTACTTGAGTAGGGCGCATAGAGTCGGAAATTTAATTCTCCGGTAACGTAATCAGATGCTGCAGAAGGAACAAATATTAATTTTTCTGCGATAGTATGATAAACTGCTGGTGGTGGACTGATGAATGATGGGAAGCGGTATGGGTTCGACTGACAAGATTTCCGAGACTCAAATCTCCAAGGAAAAGCCGAAGGCAAGTTCAAAGGTTTCGGGCAGCTCCTTTCGATCCTCCTCCGCTCCGCCTGATTGGGTTTGACGGTTCCATTCCCGAATTTTGACAAGGAAAATTGAGGCTTTGGAGAATGAAATGAAAACGGGCAGAAAAGGGCAAATCTCCAACGACGCAACGACGCCGTAATGGTGGACGATAGGAAAGTCTGACACGCGTCCGGAATAATCAGGCTCTTTTATATAGTTAGGGAAAAGTGCATTTTCAGTTCCCAAACACACATCTCAACAAGGTGATAATGGAAGAAGTCTAAATATCTCGAAAGGGAAAAAAGTGGGTTTATCTTTTATGAAAATATGAGAGATGTTTAATCAATTCTCTTTTGGAAGTATTGTTAAATTATAATAGAACATATGTCATAAAATCTTTAAGTATTTATAGGCACTGGTAATTTAACCTCCAGATAGCACAAAAGGTTCTGCTGGGCACATGGCAAGTGCAAATTCAGCATTATCTTGGTGACCAGTAAGTACCTGCAAGGAATTGGGTAACAAATTATCAAGCAACTGTACTATCGATAATTAAGCAGGAAACAACAAAGATCAGAAAGTTCCTTATAATCAAAATGAGAAATGAAAATTAAGGAAACAAATTGAAATGCCAAAGGGAAGAATATTCAAATAAGAGAACGTAGTATAAAAGGAGAGCTTCAAGGTCCATTTAATGATACCAGTACGCAAAATAAATTCAAGCCTGCATTTCCTTGGAAAACATACCAGATCTGGACAGGATGCTGAGGCACCTAAAACAGGGTGCCGATTAGGCTGACTTTCAACATCCCAAAGGAGAACCTAACCCAATTCAAAGACATTGAAACGTATAAAAAAAATGTTTACTAAACTGGAATATACCAAACCAAGAAACAAACACAAATGGCAGCATAAGCTATGATGCACAGAAGGAAATGGTTACATCTGGACTGTTAGTGTAAGTAGCCACAATCTTGCTATTCTGTGGTAATCCTCTGATTCAATTCACCTACAATAAAAAATTCATCACATGTCATAAGATACCCCATCACTATAAAAATGTCAAGTTCCATAGTTCCGCATCTTTCATTCCATTTCTTCCTCCTTGTTTGTAGATGTGTAGGAGTACAATTGCCTTTTCTTGTCCTTTTCTCCTAGGAATTTATTGGGGGTTCAGGGATATAGAATTATGTTAGCAGTACAATCAAGTTTCAATGAACCATTCTAGATGGTACATACAATGATTTTCATTTGCAGCATGCAAGTCTTGAAAATATCAAAAGGATACAAAGAATTCAGATTGGAAACCAAAAGAGGAACCGGTCATTTGCTTGATATTAGGGAACAATGAGCTTCTACATTCACCACATAGTTGCTTCATTTTTGTACATGAGGGAATAAAGAGAATAATTCACAAGGATACTCATAAGAATTTGCCTTATGCTACAGTCTAGTTTTTTTTCCAATTACAATTATTAACTCATAGATTTAATAGTAAATAAGGTAAAGAACTGAGATTTTACAGTCAAGTTCTGGAATAAATAATAAAATCTTAAACACTTTGAGTTACAAGTTATATACAAGTTAAGCTTAAAGAAGTATCCAAACATTAAACATTATAAGCGGAACCCTCGATTACATTTCAAAGAATAAATCAGAGAATATGAATCTTTGCGTCTAATTTTTTTTTGTAATCAAATAAAACAATAATAATTATAGATACCTCTCCAGGATGTATAGTGGTTTTCCACTTCTTCTTCAACCAATCAAAAGGCTGTAAATGATTGAAAAGATCAAAGAAAAGAAATAATATAAGTTTCCTACCCAAGGTTAGTATATATAGTGATTTTATACGTGATAACAAATAAAGGTCGAAATAAATGAACAAATTATCAACTTAAATACTCAAATAGTTATATCTAATTTCGTCCTCTTTTGTGTCAGATGCAAGAAACAAAATATTATGTATGCATGTTAATTTCACACTGAAAACACAAATTGCCAAGAAACAGTAAAGATTTCCACTCAAAAAAAAAAAAA